CGTGGCCCCCGGGGACCCGCCCTGGGGCAGGAGGTGAGGCCACCGACCCTGGCGCCTGTCCGAGGCGGGGCAGAGACCCGCCCCGGCCGTCCAGAGGTCGTGGTCAGGGGCGTGGATGTGCCCGCCGGGAGGACACCGCCCCCTCCCAGAGGCGGGGCGTCGCAGCCCAGGGCTGCCCCCATCCTGGGGTGGGGCGGGGGTCCGCTGGCCGGAGACCAGCGGGGGGCACCGAGGGTGCCTCTGAGGGCCTGTCCTTGCCCATGGGCCCGCCGGAGCAGCCCACCCGTGTGCGTAGGGGCGCGGCGAAGCTGAGCACACGCTGGGCCCAGGCACCTCGCTGGCAGCCCGGGCTGGCTCCACGCCTGCGTTGCTTTGAGAGCTGCCGAGGATGCGGGGCGATGCCCAGTACTCTCCTCCCCACACTCCCCTGGCCCCGCCCCGGCGGACGGTGCCTGCTCTTGGCCGGCCACTGGGCACTGGCGCACTCCAGAAAGCCCTGGCCGCAGCCAGCGCCGTGGGTGGACACACAAGCCCAGCCCCCGGCGGCCGTCCACAGCAGGCAGAGGCCTGGGTTCTGGAGCTGCTGTGGGGTGTCAGCGGGGGCGGGCCCCCATGTGCCCGCGGGCCCGCGAGGCCAGGGGCACCCACACGAGGCTGGAGGCCGCCATCTGATGCCAGAGCGGCCGGTGGGGGGGGGGTGCTGCCAGGGCGGGGGGACAGGGGCGGGTCAGCTTTGGGCACTTCCACGCGTGGGGCTGGCCGACTGGACAGAGACTTCTGGGTGCAGGCGAGGGCCGCCTGGGGGCTCTGGGGGCTTGAAGGCAAGAGCAGTCAGATAAGGCGCTGCCCAGCCCAGGAGTGTGCCCCTCGGGGGTCCCAGCCCCGGCAGAGGCCGCACTGCGGTGCCGCGTGACGCCAGCAGGGGGCGGCAGGGAGCTGGCGCTGTCCTGCTTGCCGGGACCCGCCCTCCCAGTGGGGGTCCCCTGCCACCAATGCCCAAAGGGATCCCCGGGACCCAGTGAGCCCCGACTTCACAAACGGGTCAGCTTAACACAGAATCTTGTAGAACTGTGGCAACACGGAGGCGCGAGGGCGGCGGTCACCACGCGGTCACCACGCGGTGTCCCGCCACGGCCTGTCCCACCCGCGGGACAGCTCCTGCTCGCAGTGTCCCCAGCCGGGCCCCTTCCAGACGCCCCTGGCAGAGGGTCCCTTCCAGGGGAACTTCATTCAGGACGAGCTGGCCAACCGGGCGCCTCTGTGGAGGGGGTGTGAGCTGGGCGGGCGCCCCGAGAGGCAGGCAGGCAGGCCCCGCCCAGCAGCGGAGGAGGGGGGTCCGGCTGGGGGCCCTGGGCTTTCACGCCCATGTCTTTGTCCTCAGGGCTGAAGAAACACATGAAAAATACAGCCCAGGGCCGGGCGAGGAGCCCCCCGCTTCCCGGTGCTTTCGCTGCTGTGACCCCGGCCCCCCGGTGTACCCCGCCATCCCCGCGCCCCAGATCAACATCACCATCCTGAAAGGTGAAAGGCCCTGAAAGGCCCTGGCGGGGTGGCAGCAGGCCGGCGGGGGATGGCGGGCGGCAGGCCAGGGCGCGAGGGGCGGTGAGGGGCGGTGAGGGGCGGCAGTGGGGAGGCGGTGGGGGTGGCGGCGGCCGCCGGGGCCGGGCTGGGGACTGTGGGGGGGTGGCAGTGGGGTGCTGGGGAGCTGGGTGCGGGAACAGCAGGACGACAGGGAGGTGCCGTCCTGGGGTGGGCACGTGCAGTCCGGGCGGGCAGGCCACGGGGGCTCCACTTCCGAGCTCTGGCTCCGCTCCAAGAGGACCGCTGGGGGGGGGCTGTCTGCGGGAGCCTGGGCCCCCCCCAGCAGGCAGCGGGGCGCTGGGCAGCCTTCGGGGGCTGGGGCTGCAGCCCCTTGAGCCCCAGGTCCACCGGCAGCCTCTCCGCCCCTCCCGCTACAGAGGGCCTGGGACGACGGGGGGGGGGGGGGGGACGCAGCGTCCCACACCGGCCGCGGTTTGCTCAGGGCCTGGCCGCGGGCCTGCTGCTTTGGGGGGCCCGCGTGTCCCGGCCTTTGCCTGGACCTTCCGGAAACAGAGTGTTTGCTTCGGGATGGAAACAGACCAGCGCGTGTGCGTGTGCGTGTGCGTGTGCGTGTGCGTGTTTGGGGCGCGGGCGCGCGCCACCTCGTGCTCTCCGTCGGCAGGGGAGAAGGGCGACCGCGGAGACCGAGGCCTGCAGGGCAAATTCGGCAAGACGGGCTCGGCCGGCGCCAGGGGCCACGCGGGGCCCAAGGGGCAGAAGGGGTCCGCGGGGGCCCCCGGCGACCGCTGCAAGGCCCAGTACGCGGCCTTCTCGGTGGGCCGCAAGAAGCCCCTGCACAGCGGCGCCTACTACCAGACCGTGGTCTTCGACACCGAGTTCGTGAACCTGTACGGGCACTTCAGCATGTTCACCGGCCGCTTCTACTGCCACGTGCCCGGCGTCTACTTCTTCAGCCTCAACGTGCACACCTGGAACCAGAAGGAGACGTACCTGCACGTGATGCGCAACGCCGAGGAGGCGGCCATCCTGTACGCGCAGGTGAGCGACCGCAGCATCATGCAGAGCCAGAGCCTGATGCTGGAGCTGCGGGAGCAGGACGAGGTGTGGGTGCGGCTCTTCAAGGGCCAGCGCGAGAACGCCGTCTTCAGCGACGAGTTCGACACCTACATCACCTTCAGCGGCTACCTGGTGAAGCCGGCCTCCGAGCCCTAGGGCCGCCGCGGGCTGGCTCCTCCCCCCACCCCCCGGCCCCCCTCCCCGGCCCGGCGCGGC